GCAAAATCCTGTCTCTACTAAAAATACAAAATTTAGCCAGGCTTAGTGGCAGGTGACTATAGTCCCAGCTACTCGGGAGGTTAAGGCACAAGAATCGTTTGAACCGGGGAAGCAGAGGTTGCAGCGAGCCAAGATTGCACTACTGTACTCCAGCCTGGATGACAGAGTGCAACTGTATCTCAAAAAACAAAAACAAACCAAACACAGGTTTATATAAACATACATACAATTTTAGTGCACTAAAAACATAGTTTATTATGCTTTTAAAATTCTCATTAAATATAAATAGCAAACTTATACCAAAAACTTACTATAATGTAGAAAAAAATTTGAAAAACCGATGCTACATTTATACAATATATAATATAGTTTTTAATGAAAATCATGGGTAAAAATTGACATTTCTGAGCTGAACCCAGATAGCTGTTTATGCATTTATTTGTGTTACCTACATACTGTCAAGACCTGTGAAGGATCGGAGATTTACACTACTTTCAAGCCAACATGTTAGACTGTCACGAGCTAATAAATGCTGCCAGAGGAAAGAAATCTCCTGGGTGATAGACAAGGTATTTGTTACTTACAATAACAGGGGTAGCCAGAATATCAACATTTCCTTGTGACCACTGGGCTCTAGTTCCCTGAGCCCCAGTTGTCACAGAGCAACTTGAATAGGGCCACATGCCACCTGCACATGCAGTGTGTTGCATTATAGGAGAGAAAACCCTAAACTTCAGAAGCTGGAATCTTTAATCATGGGAAAGATGCCTATCCCTTTGCACTAGCAGGAGACACCAGCTCTACCTTCCAGGGAGATATGCAAACCTGACCGCTGCTATGAAGTCACTACAGCATCTTCCAAAGCTACTCACTGTATATAGAAATAATCTTGAAAAGATAGACAAGAACAAAGGCAGCCACAGCCTCTGTTCACAAAACACACAGGAAAGCGTGAGACCCATGGAAAATTATCTTCCAGCACGTCTTCAAAGCTGGTTTAAGGACAATAAAGTTTAACAAAAGGAAATCACATTAATAAAGTAATTAGAAAACCCAAACTACAAAAAGAGCAAAGATACAAACTAAGAAAACTAACAAAATTGCTATCACAGAGAATCGCCTCTTATTCTAGCTCCAAACAACTAGTAGAAGCTGCCAGCTGTGGAGGATTCCTAGGTTCCATATACACAGCAAGATACATCTGTGACAAGTGCAGGAGAGGAAAGCAGAGCACAGACAAGTGTCACAGGTATCATCTCTAGCAAAATGTAGTCCAAGTGAATACAAAGTGTACCAGCATCGAAATATACCTGTGGCCAGGCATGGTGGCTCAAGCCTGTAATCCCAGCACTTTGTGAGGCTGAGGTGGGCAGATCATGAGGTCAGGAGTTCAAGACCAGCCTGGCCAACATGGTGAAACCCCGTCCCTACTAAAAACACAAAAATTATCTGGGTGCAGTGGCAGGCACCTGTAATCCCAGCTACTTGGGAGGCTGAGGCAGGAGAATTGCTTGAACCCGGGAGGTAGAGGTTGTAGTGAGCAGAGATCCTACCCCTGCACTCCATGCTGGGAAACAAGAGCAAGACTCCATCTCAGAATAGATAAATAAATAAAAAATAAAAAAAAAACCCAACCAAATAAATAAATATACCTGTATACACTACCACTATGCATAAAGGTATGCTTTTCAAGGCCATGCTATTCATTCGCAAAAGACTAACAGTAGGGTAGAACAGCACCTACTAAATTCATTTGAATACCTACAGTATTCAAAACGAGAAAGCAGACTTCTGCAGATAGACTTTAAAAAAGTGGCAGAGGCCGGGAGCAGTGGCTCACCCCTATAATCTCAGCACTTTGGGAGGCCAAGGCAGGCGGATCACTTGAGGTCAGGAGATCGAGACCAGCCTGGCCAACATGACGGAATCCCATCTCTACTAAAAATATGAAAAAAAAAAAAAAAGCCAGACGTCATGGCGGGTGCCTGTAATCCCAGCTACTCAGGGGGCTGAGGCAGGAGAACCACGTGAACCCGGGGAGGTAGAGGTTACAGTAAGCCAAGATTGTGCCACTGCACTCCAGGCCCAGCGATCGAGCGAGAGACCAGTTCGGAAAATAAATAAATATAAAGGAGGCCAGGCATGGTGGCTCATGCCTGTAATCCCAGCACTGTCGGGGAGGCCAAGGCAGGAGGATCCCTTGAGCCCGGGAGATCAAGACTAGCCTGAGTAACACCCATCTATACAAGCAATATGAAAATTAGCTGGGTGTGAAGATGCACGCTTTGCAGTCCCAGCTACTCTGGAGGCTGAGGTGGAAGGATCACTTGAGCCCAGGATGTTGAAGTTACAGTGAGCCATAATTGTGCCACTGCACTCCAGTCCGGGTGACACCAAGAGACCTTCAAGAAGATGCACAGGCATAGTTTTAAGGGAATATGTATGCACAACCTCAAATTCAAAGACAGATTTGCCTGAGAACATACACCCGTGTGCCAGGGGAGTAATCACTTCCCACCTCCCCTTTCCTAGCCACCCTTCTGTTTCACAAAATAAAACAATTCGTCCCACTCAAGCTATCTAAATATTTACAATGACAGTGCTGATATTTTTTGTTGTTGTTGTTAAAAACCTTGACTCTTTCATCAGCAAAGAATGCACAGAGTTTGTATGAAACACTGAAAAAAATGGTTTGACAGAAGCGGCTTTGTCAGCTAACTTATTTAATAGATATTTCTCATAAGTTAAATAAATTAAATCTGCAGTTCAAACGTTTTGTTGATAATTAGTTTAGAGCACAGAAAGAAACTTCAGTGAAAAATACTGTTTTGCAACAGTATATTGAAGAAGACAATAACTCAATTTTCCCAATCTTTTTCAAGTGTATCCGGCCAAACAACGTGTCTCAAGGGAAAAAAAAAAACCATATACAATGAACAGTCATTGTGATATAACTTGGCAATGCCTTTTTAGATATGTTCTGGGGATTTGAGAAGATGAATAAATAATGACTAGGTAACAAATCCTTTTCCAAGTCAGGTGGTGTTTAATTATTTTAACGAAATTGAGGAAAAGTCTAATTTAATTATCAGTTAATCATCAAAACAATTTTTTGGTATGTGATCTACAAAATTCAACTGCTTGTAACATTATCTGCTTTAGTTATTAATAAACTTCTTTGTAAAAGTACACTAAAATACCAGTATAAAAAGGAAAATTTTTCTCTTAAAAAAGTGTTAATTGTGTAATATGATAAAGTATCAACTACTATAACTTTTTAAAAGTATCAGCTTCATTAAAATACAATTCACAGTATATTCTTTTAAACCATATACTTCAGTGATTTTTAATACAGTTGTGCAATCACTGTTAGGCAGGAATCTAGACCCAACATGGCGGCGTTACCCGGCGTAGCAGGCCTTTTGTTAAAGACTCCCTTCACCCTTGTACACACCCGCAGACTTACATGCGTCAGAGTTCTGGCTGGGCAACCACACTCCCCCATGACCTGCAGCTCACCTGCATTCCACAAGTTTGTAAACAGCAGTTTCGGTTGACAGTTTCCAAAGACCCCTTCCTCATGACCCTTACTCAACTCCTGCCCTAGTAGTTTCAAGACCCCCCAGGCCCTGTTTGCACAACCAGCTTCCCTACCTCTCGGGCTATAAAAAGCCCCTACCCTCCTCCCTCAGCGCGACTTCCTCGGCCCACGCCTTTGGACCGAGGAACCTCGCCCGCGAGTCCTAATAAAGGCTATTCTCACTGCCATTTGCCTTGTGTCTTCGTTCCTGGTTCGGCTCCAGCCTCAGTTTACCTTTATAATCACCACCACTATCTACACTCAGAACATTTACCCCCTAAAGAAACTCCACACTCACCAGCAGTTATTCTCCAAATCTCTTCCACCACCCTCACTAGGGATCATCTGGCAACCACAAATCTGCATTTTCTTTAAACAGATTTGCCTACTCAGGACATTTGAAATAAATGGAATCATATAAAATGTAGCCTTTTATGACTAGCTTCTTTTACTTAACATGTTTTCCAAGTTCATCCATGTTGATGAATAAATCAGTATTTAACATCATTTCTAAATAACAGTCCATTGTATGGATATAACAATTGCGTTTCTTCATGTATAAATTGATGAATGTTTAGACTATTTTCTCTTTTTGGCTACTATCAATAATGCTGCTATAAATATTCATGTATAAGTTTTTGTGTAAACATGCTTTCATTCCTAGATTTAGGAGTGGGATTACTGAATCCTATTGTAAT